GTCGGCGGGGGACGGTCTCCAGCAGACCAGGGGCACCGGAGCAGCTTACGAACGGGGCTTTCTCGCCCCGGAGCTCGCAGGTAGCAATCCGCCACCTCAACCTCCGGGGCGAGAAAGCCCTGTTCGTAGGTGCGGATCCGACTTAAGTCGGATCCGCGTAAGTCGGGGACTGCCTGTAATCCAGAAGCATTAAAACACTGTGGTTAAGTAGTGACATTTGATTTTCATATTTGATTCTTTAAATGTATATATTTGCATACATTTACAAATTTAACTTTTACCTCTGCATATTCTGTCAACAAAATAATTACATTTGCCAAAGATAGTGTACATCATTTGTTATTATAAAATGTGACAATGATCATTTGTTAATAAACATACTATCATTAGAAAATCTTACATTCACATTTTACATTTAGGTTAAACATCAATATTTAAGTTAATGAATTATGCTTGTACATCTCATAGGAATACCTGAGATATTCAATGTTTACTTATTAATGCCACAGTTTGAAAGGTATTGTATAATTTCCAAGCAACACTAATGAATTTACTCACTAAAGTAATTCCAAAAAAAATTTAAATATTTCTTTGCATTGTCTGTATTAAAGCAATTTTAATGCTGCCTCTGTTTGAAATACAGTTCTCACAACACACTATTTCAATATTTATTCAAATATGTTTTGGTTAAAAGTGCAGTAATTCATGTGGCTCTATGCTCCTTAACAGCCACTTTTTACAATATAAAATTTACAAACAGTTAAGTCTTGCAAGATGAAATATTTCACTCATAGCACATTTTGTTCAAAAAATAAGATCTTTCTATATGTAGACATTTGTTCTTAATATAATGCAGAATATTTTAGAATAGAAAGCTCACCTCAAGGTATTTGATCAGTTTTTCAGAGGTGTGGAGCACCTATGACACCAATGGAAGTAAGTGAAAACTACAGGTGGTTAGCCTCTGTGCAAAGTCATATCCTAATATCTTTGGATTCTTTTTGCCTACATCAAAAGGTCATTTTGGAAAATGTATGTAACGATAACAAAATAATTTGTTGAAGTCAATCTGTGTTCCTACTAGCTCTGGAGCTTTATTATATTACCAATGCATAATCAGTTTGTGATGTCCATACTTACTACCTAAAAAAAAACAACAAATTTTCGACTAGTAGTCCAGAAAAACAGCAAAGAGCTGCCATAGGAAATAGTATGTCTTGGCATGAATGGGGGAAGAGTATGTTATTTAAGATGAAGTTAGTCTTGGATGAGGTAGTGCATGAAGGCGGAGAATGAAGGCCTTTTTCATATCAGTCTACTTACAGTAGATGGCATTGCTAGTATCTCTCAGAATTTGAAGGAATCACCTATAGGAGCAATTCAGTCTCCATATAAATTTAGTACTTTCTTTTCTATGCACATTCTTGAGTACCAGTTGCAATGGTAGTACTAAGCTGAAAATATATCTACTAAGAACTGAACTTAAATTTCCAAACTGTTTCATTATACAGGCTTCAGAAGAGTAGCAACTTTTAGGCTGGAGGGTTGCATATCTGAAGATGAAATTTAGCCCTATGAAGTTGGGAGGAGGTTGTACACTTTCATCAGACTTTCTTCTGTCAGATACTGAAAGTGTCATTAAATACTACAACACTGAGCATAATAGAAATGCTTTCAAATTTACCAAGAAAACACATGATGTTTTTTACTCCAAAACCTCCTCTGCTTTTTGTGTTTGAGCAGAAAGAAGGAGCGATAGAATTAACTGTGCGCTCCTGTCCTTATCAGCAAGTACTATGTTGAGGATGGTTGATATGGATTGCCTGAAATGTCTGACTCTTCTCAAGATAACCCTCAATGTATTGCTATAGTATACTATACTACTATATAAAGAACAGAATTGTCAGACAGAGAGTCAACAAGCATGTAGACAAAGGGGATCCAGTGGATATAGTGTAATTGGATTTCCAGAAAGCATTTGGTAAGGTCCCTCACCAATGGCTCTTAATTAAGTTGTAATGCAATAAGAAAGAAGGTCCTCTCAAAAACTGGTAAAAAGATGGTCATTTTTCAGAATGGCAAGAGATAACTAGCCCACGGGAGTCCATACTGAGACCAATCCTATTCAACATATTCATAAATGATCTTGAGAAAGAGGTAAACAGTGAGTTGGCAAATTTTGCAGACACTGAACTGCTCAAGATAGTGAAGTCTGAAGCCAACTGTGAAGAGCTTCAAAAGGATCTCACAAACCTAGGTGACTAGCCAACAAAATGGCAGATGAATTTTAATGTTGATAAATGTAAAGTAATGTATACTGAAAAACATAATCCTAACAATATATACAAAATGATAGGGACTAAATTAGCAATTACCACTAAAGAGAGAGATCTTGGAGTCATTGTGGCTAGTTCTCTGAAAGCATCCACTCAATGTGCAGCAGCAGTCAAAGAAGCAAATAGAATCATTTAAAAGGGGATGGAGAATGTCTTATTGCTCGGTACAAATTGATAGTATGTCCACATCTTGAATACTCTGTGCAGATGAGATTGCCTCATCTTAAAAAAAGATATCGTGGCATTGGAAAAAGTTCAGAAAAGGGTAACAAAAATGATTAGGGATTTGGAAGGGCTGCCATCTGAGGAGAGATAAATAAGACAGGGACTTATTTTCAGCTTAGAAAAAGTGGAGACTAAGGGGGGATATGATAGAAGTCTATAAAATCATGACTGCTGTGGTGAAAGAGAATATGGAAAAGGTATTTACTTGTTCCCATAACATAAGAACTAGGGGTCACAAATGAAATTAATAGGTAGCAGTTTAAAACAAACAGGAGGTATTTCTTCACACAATACACAGTCAACCTGTGGAATTCCTTGCCTGAGGATGTTGAAAATCAGGAATTTAAACAGGGTTCAAAGAAGAATTAGATATATTCCTGGAGGATAGGTTAATCAATGGCTATTAACCAGAACGGATAGGAATAGTGTCCCTAACCTCTGTCAGAAGCTGAGAATGTATGACAGGGGAGGGATCACTTGATTACCTGATCTGTTCATTCCCTCTAGGTCATCTAGCACTGGACACTGTCAGAGGACAGGATACCAGGCACTATGGACCATTGGTTTGATGCAGTATGGCCATTCTTATGCATCCTTGATGAGTCACTGAGTTTTCAATGCTTGTCACTATCAAAAAGCCTTTCTACACACAAATAATTAAGATTTTATGCTGCCCTCTAAGGGCACATCTACACAGCAGGGCTAACACCAAAATAAACTACGTAACATAAGATACGTAATTGACGTAGCTCAAGTCAAAATAGCTTATTTTGGCTTTTGACGCCATCTACGCAGCTGGAAGTCTGACAAAGAGCACTCTTCCTCCAATTTCTCTTACTCCTCCTAAAATGAGGGTTATAGGAGTTGGAGTAAGAAGTGCTCCAGCTCAACATTATATTGAAATAACTGCTTGCTCTGTAGATGCAGACTGTTATTTCAGAATAATATGAATTATTCCAAAATAACACTGCTATGTAGACATAGCCTAAGAGGCTGAACACAGAAACTCACAGCCCACAGGATGGGAAAGCTTAGGTGGTTTTAAAGCCACTTTTGCATCCTCCTAGTCCTGGCCTGCCTTGGAACTGGAGCAGCTCCTGGCATAATTCAGAAAGCCCTGGAGGTCTAAGTTACAGCAGCCTCCCAGGCTGTTCTACAGATTACAAACATAGCTATGACCTTGATTAGTGCTGTAGTTATTGCCCTAAACCAGAGCCTGCAGTGATGTTCAGAAGATCTTGTGGCTGTCTTCTGCAATGCATATATCAGAGGTGGTCTCACTTCACAGCTTCAGCTCTTTTACCCTCTGTAAAAGTGCAATAGTCCGGTGAGGATCTCATCCTAAGTCTCTAGTTAAAAATGGAATGAAAATGGAAAGCTAATTGAGTTATGATTAACCCCATGGTCAACCACTGAGATCTCATTACCCCAGAATGGTTGATAATACTGTGCTACCTTCTAGCCACTCTTCTTTTAGATAATTCTCCGTCATTTTATCTGCTTAGTGCTCTTGTTTTCATTGGAAGAGATGAATACTTCTGGTATTTCAGATTTACTTCTACAGTTTCTTCATTTGAAGATTTTATTTTGCATTTAATAAAATGATGGTACCTTTAGGTATAATTCTCCACCCATCAATGAAATCAAATACATATTCTAATGAAGAATAGACAGACTCATGATCAGTTTTCTCATATCATTCATGTTCATTATGTAAGTCAACCTGAGCTTGAAATGCACCATTTGGAAGAAGCCTTTAATTGCCATCTCAGTCATCCTTATTGCTGTTTACAATGTTCCAACTCTCTTTGGGCTGCTCTTGAGGGATAGGTTTATATGGTCTTTTAAAGAAGCCAAACTGAAAGACAATTTCAAAGTCAATTGATATGGTTCAACAAATTCTTAAGTCAGATTTCATAAAATCACTTTAAACAGTACAACAGATTATGATGGAATACTGGCATATGTGATGAAGTATCAGCTTGTTTTGGGAGTAACAGTCATGTTACTATTAACATGAACTGGTACATAATATCACCGGGTGGGGGAAAGACAGCATTATTAAAAATTTACATCTTACGGGCTAATAATTGCCCTACATAAACAATGAAAACAAATGTGCCAGATGTGAAGTTTCACAGTTTAAAAATATCTTCCCACCCAGGATATGGAATGGCAATGGAATCTGAGCATTTGTTACACTTCTCTACTCTTACATGGGAGGAGTAACTAGTGGAGACACATTCACACATGCCCAATCCCCAACTTTTTTTTCTTTGGCACAACGAAATGTCTATGGCAGATATGGGATAAACAATCCCTGACTATCAGAACTTGCCAGAATCTTGTATAGCTAGTAGTGTTCATATAACTTATAATTTAAAACATTTAATGCTGATAAGCAATAAGGCTATATGCATCTTTTTTGTTAGCAGTATTTTAAAACATTCTGGTATGTGTGTCCACTAGAATAGCAAAAACTTGAAACAGAAGCATAGAAAAAATGTTTTACATTTGAAGGGAAAATATGCAAATCTGGCCCATAAAGCTGGGGGAAAAACTTAGGGTACAGGCGTTAGAGATCCCAGAGAGGTAAGTTAATGTCAATAAGTACTTTTACTGAGAGAGAACACATGAGGTAAAAAGGACAAATGAAAGGAAATTAATCATAATAGGATTTGTTATTCTTTCAGGAGGATAGATCACAATAAAACATTATTCCCATTTTTAAAGTATTAAATGAAAATAACATTAATTAAAACAATCCTACCTTCTGGAGTAGTATAAATACAAGCGAAAGCAATAATATGCCAACTGCTGAGCTTATCCCAATAAGCAGGAAAAAAACAGGACCTTTTGGCTTTTGGTTATGTAGTCCTTCCAAAAAGACCTAAAGTAGGGAAACATTAACAAATTAAAATTAGTATGTTTAATTTCTAAATTATGTTTAGAAAAGATAATATGTGAAATTGAAATATAATATTTCTTGAACGTATTTTTAGGGTGTCGAGAGGGCTAATTGTGTACTTAATGAATTCTTACATGTGCAACTTGCTTTTCCTTGTGTAGTTCAATGACTTTTGAATTTTTTTCTGGTGATGCTGTAGCTCTTACTTCAAACTTAAGTGACGATACCTCATCCTGTTTTTTTAAAAAAGTCCAAGTTTGATCAATACAGCATGATGATATCATAAAAACAGTGAATTAAATCTTGCTATGTAGAAGCCCTCGTCTATAAAACAAGCCAGTGAGAGAGCCAGGAAAAGAATACAATGCTATACTGCAGTAACTCAAAAGAGCTGTGTTTTTATATTTACACAAATTAACTTGGAACTGTGGTACTATTGCTAATCAATGTGAATATATTTTCAAGGACTGAGCTACTGACAAAGCTGTACACAAATATTCTGGAGGGCAAACAAGACAAATGCAGTTTAGATTTCTATTTTAAATAAATGTCATATTTCCTTTTGTCCCAGAGCTGCACCCATCCTGATACTTAAATCTAATGGCCATCAAATAAATGAAACCACTGTTTGTGCCATAATCAAAATGTTCCCTGCAATACCTCTCCACTGAAGACTATCATTAGCTCACAGACATTTACCTCCCATCCCTCTTCTGTTCTGCAATTTGATTTGTCCTTTTCATGTGTGTTCATTTTTTTTATTGTATCCTTTGGTATATATGGTTGACAATTTTCTTCCACTATTTGATCTGAGGAAGTGGGTCTGTCCAACGAAAGCTTTTCATCTAATAAACCATCTTGTTAGTCTTTAAAGTGCTACATAGTCCTGTTTTTTGTTCCAGCTACACCAGACTAACACAGCTACATTTCTATCACTATTCTATATCTATATTCCTATTGGTGAGCTCTTCAACCAAGTATCAGAGGGGTAGCCGTGTTAGTCCGGATCTGCAAAAGCGACAAGGAGTCCTGTGGCACCTTATAGACTAACAGATGTATTGGAGCATAAGCTTTCGTGGGCAAAGACCCACTTTGACCACGAAAGCTTACGCTCCAATACATCTGTTAGTCTATAAGGTGCCACAGGACTCCTTGTCGCTTCTTCAACCAAGAGTTTTCTGAAATTAAGGCATTTAACGGCTGACTTACATAGGGTATTCCTTTAAGAGGGTCTTTGTCCACACCCTAAGTTACATTTTATCAAAGGCAGATTTATCTTATCTGATTGCTAATTATACAAATATGGCAATTTATCTGTATTTTCTATAAGTCACATTCATTATCAGGAATTGTGCAAGTGTTAAAATGGCTTTTAATTATCTAAATAGCACTAAACCGTTCTGTAAATCACCGAACGTATTCATAGCACAGAGACACATTCAGATAGTAACTATGTTTAGAATGAGAGAGTCAGTCTCCTATTAACCAATTTACTGTATGCATGACCAGGACATGTCATGCTAGAACAGACCAATGGTCTAGCCCAGGGGTGGGGAACCTAAGGCCACTTATGTGCAGTCCCTGACTGATTTTTCTGTGGGCCAGTAGACTCCAACCAAGAAGGTTCCCTATCTCTGGTCTAATCAGTCTGAAATCTGTCCTATGCTTCAGTTTGACCAAAAAAAGAAAAACAACCAAAAACCACACCCACACACACCATGCCTAACTGCAATTAGCTGTCTGGTTTATCATATCCTGTTAGTAATCAAATTATAAACAATACAAAGAGCTCTATTATCATTTTCTAGTATGACTAGAGGATGTACCTTAGTACATCAGGTGTTTAACTGAAGTAATTTTTTTAAATAAAAAAATGTACATGTTTTATTTCAATTATTGTATTTTTCAAAAATGAAGGCTGGGGTGTGAGGAGGATAATGGGGTGGGTGGCTTAGGGCAGTGGGTTGAGAGGTGTGGAGGGGCTCAAAGCAGGTGGGGGTGAAGGGTGGGAATGAGGGTGCAGAAGTCAAGGCAGGTGGGATGTGCTAGACTCAGGGCAGAGAGGGCTTACTGGGACCACCCGTGGTGGCAAGGGTGGTGCTACTAAGGTGGTGGCTCCTCCTAGGGGCTGAAGCTGCGCTGCTCAGATGGTGACTCTTCCCAGCAAGGGGGTACCTGGGACTGCACACTTGTTGGGTGGGAGCTGAGGCTATGTGGGCTGACCCCAGTCTCCCATTCCCCCACCCTAGACTGCAGCTTGTTGGGGGGAAGGGAGGAGCAGTGTTCCGGGGGCAGCTGCTGTCCTGCTGCTGCTATCCCCCCCCAACCTGCAACTGGTCTGGGGAGGCAGCGCTTTGGGGCCCCCTCCATTCTGCAGCCTGTTTGGGGGAACACTCCGGGGACTGACCTGGCCTTCAGTGCCCCCCTTCCCACATCATCCTGCAGGCCGTGTGGAAGAGGCAAGTTTCTGGGGGCTGCCCCCTGTCTGTAGCACCACCCTGTGACTTGCAGGGCCTCCACGGGGCAGGGAGGAATCCTTTGGATTTTGGGTAGGTGGTCTACATACCAGGTTGGTGGCAGGAAGATGGTGGAGCCCCAGCCCTGCTGGCCATTCTCTTGATGCCACAGCTGCCCACAGTGGCCACTTTCAGTATCACAACTCTCCTCTCTGTGCCCCTCCTTTTTGCATCCCTCAGCTCTCTGCCCCCTCCCTTTCCATGTTATGGAAAATAGTCCCATTCCCTGCACTTCCTGTTTTCCAGGCACAACCAAGCCTTGACCTTGATTTAAGTTTATGCTAAGAGGAAGCTGCATACCAAATGTGATGGTCCAAGCTCTTACGGTTTAGAAAGAATTTATGAACAAATGGACTCACAGGCTCATAGACAGATGCACACTAAAATATAGATAAGCTTGAAGTGAAAGGTATATCATGGAGCTTGCTTTTTGGTTTTGATATGTATTTCACAGGCACAGAGCAAGCTCCATGGTATACTTTGCACTTCGAGCTTATCTGACATGTTGCAAAAAATGTTTATTATTAATTTAGATTTAACAATACTTCATTTATTAAATGAATATTGTGCAATTTATTTCGGACATAACTAGAAATAGAGCAGTGTCCCCAACAAGGTATACATCTATGTAAAACAACCTTTTAAAATATCTGGTTAAAGATTTACATACAGTTTACCATTTCTAAAATTGAAGGAGTAGCCTCCAGTTGTATTTGGACAGTTACTTCTTTTCCACTTTCCATGCTTCCAAATTTACACAGTATTCGGAAACACAAATGGTCTTCTTTCATGCAGTACTTTGACGGGAAAAAAAGCAAAAATACAATACTGAGCTTCAGTAACATGGTTTATTTTTTCTTGTTAAAACTCCTTTTTGAGTAGATATGAGAGACCTGGACTTTGGGAATTTTTTTTTTTTTTTGGAAAAGTCAGATGTAAGGCTATTACAGCAGTCCCCGGGTTACGTACAAGATAGGGACTATAGGTTTGTTGTTAAGTTGAATTTGTACGTAAGTCGGAACTGGCTCCAGATTCAGCCGCTGTTGCTGAAACTGACCAGGGGCTGACTTCAGGAAGCCCGAGGCAGAGTTGCTCTGCCCCCAGCTTCCTGGAATCAGCCACTGATCAGTTTCAACAGTGGCTGAATCTGAAGCCTGGGACAGAACAGCTGGGGCGCTGCCGGGTAGGTTCCCACAGGACCAACCCGGCAGCACCCCAGCTGCTCTACCCGAGGCGTCCCGCA